CCAGGATGGCTTCGCCCGCTGAGCACCGCGCGAGTGGCGTTCTCTTTTTCGGACGGGTGCGGCTCTTTAACGCAGGCTCCTGCCCTTTTCAATCGGGCAACTGCTGGAGCCGCCGGCGTTCAATTTAGAGCCCAAAAGACTTGTCTTATGCGAAGAGAAAAGACGAGATTGGCCGAGCTAGGCTGTGGAAGCCGGTTTTCGACACCTGCTGCAAGTGTCTACGAGCGGCTTTGGCGCACCCAAAGCCGAGTGGGCAAGACTATGCACCTGGGCAGGTGCCGATTCCCGGCTTTCAGTTTCGCAAGATCCCCCTGGAGCTGTTGTGCCGGGGCTTGCAATGGCTCGGGCTGTTCACGGATTGGGGGATGTACTGTTTGAAAGAGATTCTGCCAGAGGTAATCTCATGTCCAATGGGGGGGTCAAGCGCCATCAAGCGCCCTTGCTTGTTGGTACCTCATGGCGGCACCATTGGAAACATGCCGATCACATCATGGGCCGAGGACGTTTGGCTTCGGTGGCCTCGTGGAGAGCGACGCGACGAAGAGTGCCATCAATGGAAATCTTGGCAGAGACTGCAAGTGCCTGCACTTCTGGAACCGCCGAAACAGAGAGCTAACGCCGAGCCGTTTGCAATTCAGCCAGACCTCAGCCCCAAGCAGGGTTCCCTGCTCGCGATCTACGCCACACACTTAGCACACCAGAAGTTCCCAGTCTGTCTGCTGGAAGGCTCCTGCTGTGCTTTGGTACCCTTTAGCTCTCGAGCATCCGGCACCATGTGTCCGGAGCCGCGTATGGACGAGCCAGCTGAAAAGCCAGCGAGTACGGGTTGATCGTTGTCTCGCAGATCTACCGAGTATGCGAAATTGAGATCGCATCAGCTTCAATAGTATTTTGCCAAGTCGCAGAAAGCCGAATTTGTGCGGAGCGATGGTGTCGGACAGCAAAAGCGTGAAGACATAGGGAGCTTGTCGCCGGACCTCTGGTGACTCGGTTCTATCGAAAGTCCTGCTACTGTGAACGGTGACAGTCTAAACCGGGCAGGGTTTTCGAGACCAAAACAGCATGGAAGGCGTTACCTTTCAGCGTTCAAGGCGGGGAAGCGGGCGAATAATATTGAACACAGATCTTGAAAGAGTCCATGATCCTGCTTGACAACGGCGGCAATTGGCTGCTGGGAACCATCAGCAGGTGAGCTTGCAAGTGGAGTTCTGACCGTGAGCCTTGGTAGACCATGGTAAACAGAACCGCAACGACTGTCCCAGCTAGGCCTTGTCAGAAAACAACATTAATGCTTTTGAGTACACGAAGTATGAATACTACCCCTCCAACTCTGCTCGAATCCTTGTAGTACATGTGGGAATGATTGCAGACAGGTCGCTCGGACTTGCGATTGTGTGGGGGTAATAATCCTGGATGTGACGCTGGTCAGACTGGACATGTATGCAGCGGTGGATTCCTGGTTTACTGCAGGGCAGCAGTTTGAGAAGTCGTATCGGCCAGAGAAGTTGTCATGACACGCTGGAGGCTCTCCGGGTAAAGGCCGGATGGTTTGTCATAAGGCAGTCGCACAGTGAATCGTCAGGCATATTGCTTCGGTTTTGAGGTTATGGATTCGTAAGAGCCGTTCATGGATGTTAACTATGCGTCGCATGTTAAGTTGGGGCGCAGACCATAAAGACGTTGTCATGACAGCTACCCCGGCCTGTTGAAGTCGTAGCTGCGACATACAGATCACGGCAGTCTCGGGGGGAGGCGGGGAAGCTTCAAGAGTTTCCTTGGGAGCAAGCCACCACGGAAGTGCACACCTGTAACTGCTTCGTTTAAGCAGGTCCTTTGTGGTTCTAAGACCCAACGTTCACTGCGCCGGAGGTTTCAATCCTGCAGAACCAGACAGTTGTACTACCCCAAACGCCTCAAGCCTGTAAAGCCCCCATCCATGGCTATGCAAACCCTGAAACACCAAGTAAATGCAACACTTTCTTTGTGCAAAATCTGGTATTCTCGGTATGTGTTTTGTATGCCATTGTATGCGTTCACTTCGGCGATGGCATCGGAGCGATACTGTGAACCCTCACCCCAACAGCTTTACCCTGTTGGTGTTTTGAAGTGTTTCCGGTGCCGAGCTGCCCTGGCCTGAAGTTCTCACATTGCTTGCGAGGGGTGTGCCATGGTGGGCTCTGGGTTGGAAGAGGGGACAGCCGCTCACGCGCTGCTTACAAAAACCTTATCGCAGCTTGCACGGATTGTGCCATCAGCCACTGGAGGCAACCTAAAAAGAACCTAGTAGAGGAACTCAAAAATTAAAACCCTTTCGGAAGGTGTATCCTTAGGCCCGGAAAGCCTGTAGGACGGTGTATCTGAGCCCCCAAACCCCTTCAACAAGAGGTATCGGAGCCACCCAATATTCAATAGCCGCTTACTTAGAAGATGTATCGGCGCAGCTCTTTAGAGGCCTGCGTTCATTCGGTGAAAGGGACACGGGATCTTACCAAATGCCTGTATTTAGCGACATTGGAGTGCCACCGTTCAACGGGGAAGGAACAAAATTGATGATGATCGGGAGCCGGTTGCGGTACATTGGCCCATGCGCTTACATCGTGTTCCCACGTTCCGGTCGTGACTTCTTTGCCTTTGCCTGAACCGGTGCGGTCAAGGGTGTTTAGTAGCTTCCGGAAAGGTCGGTCCCGCTTTTCATTGCTACGTAGACCGTCTTCGCCTCGATGTGTACTGTCGTACTCCAACTTTCCTCAGGATCCGCTCCTTGGGCACGCTGGTGGACATGTGTGTTTGTTCCGCAGCCGTGTGGCCTAGATGATGTAGTGGTGATGTGCGTGGGCCCCAACAATAATTGCTGAAGGCAGGCAGGAGTGCGGCTCACCACCTGGACTTGTCACATCCACCTGCACTCTCGAGCTGGTTTCGTGAATTCTCTGTCGAGGTTCTCGAAATGTCTCTGCAAGAGTAGCAAAGCGCTATCTGGGCCGGGCTTCACCACAACGTTTGCGCAGAAGAGTGCAAGCCCTGCCCACAAGCCCTGCCCACGCAAGGCTGCCCAATGTGCTGGTCGATTCCTCAGAGTTTTTGACGATGTCTGCAAGCCAAGCGAAGCTGGAGTCTCTTGCTCGGTTTGCAGAAGCTTTGTTGGATTCTCGGCAAGTGTTGCATTGCAGCAGATGCTGTTGCAAATCTCAGCCGTTGCACTCAGAGTAGATCATTGGGCTTCTACTAACCTTCCAAGGCGCCCAGATCGTAGAGATGGAGCCAAGGCCGGCTCGGCTCTGAATAGCCTCCAGAGAGTTTCACCTTGCAGAGAGCCCCGTTACACTAAGCCGCTAAGCAGAGACATAGTTCTCTGCCACCACTGCCACTGGACATCACGGGACAAACTGCAACAAAGGTGCCAAAGTTCGTTAACGGTCAGGCCTTGCACCCTGCCTGAACCAGGGCTCGCCCCACCAACAAAGTCCAGGGTGATGTCAGTGCAAAGCATGTGGAGGATCCGGTGTGTTACATGAGAGTGGTCCAGTCCACACTATGTTTCCAGCACACTGAATCCCGATCATGCGGACTCTTGGACTCATGCACACGAGGCAGGTTGGGTCAGCGATCTGTGACACAGTCCCTGCCGCCCGACGTCTTGACATGCGAAGCAGAACTTGCAGTGAAGGCGGCATACCCCAGAGCTAGCCAGCCCAGAACGGATGCTGCAATTCATGCTGCGAAGGTGCCGAAGCTTTTGATGCTCTTCGCACTGGCCTCTACGCAACCCAGCAGCATTCAAATCTCATTCGCAGAGTTTCTGCAGCACCTTCCCTCTGTTGCTTTTATTCGTAAGTCGTTGGGAAATAGAGAGCCTGGCGGACAGAAGCGAACGCGCAGCCAAACAGACCGGCAAGGTTGTTCCTCTCTGTCGTGAAGGCTGGATCCAAGAACCCGACAGATCAGCTGTGCCAGTGCGAGGTTGGCAGGACATGTCCCTTGCAGCACGCATTGATCCCATAATCACCAGCCGACACAGGCACCGCCCACGACGTTTTTGTCAAAGAGGCATCATCACAGGGGAAAGAAGCAGGCACCTTCCCTACTGGGTCTCAGGCACTGTTGCTCGAGGGCAGCTTAGGAGATGCGGGTGCAACTTGATTTGGACAGTGAATTCGGCGGGTTGTATGCCTGGCATAGGACGCTGTTCAGTGCTGCCCAATCATGGATCAATCTTCAGGTTTTGTTCCGAAAATTCGGATACGAGCTGATCATGTCCCCTGCAAAGGGAAAGGCGCTCTGCTGGTTCCTTGCTTGATGCTATGCGGACATTCGCTCCCAGCAGTCTGCAAGTGGCAAGGTGTTGTTGCAGTGTCTCTTGAGTCATGCCCATCACCTTAGCCTTAGCTGCTTAGCTCGTCCTGTGTCTTGCGTGCGGTGCTTGGTGGCATGCATGTAACCAGACAGCCGTGGCCAGCTCGAGTTGCGCTCCCCCGGCCTACTTCGCAATGGCACGCCCGACCCT